AAAAAAATATATTTTTTTCTTTTGCCCTCAGAAGGCAAGTGGGCAAATCTGAGGATCGAACACACATCACAGCTTAGCATATCTATTTTTCAGGACTGAAAAACTGTACAATATTCATTTCTAGTTTTCCTTTAAAATATTCAGAATAGTTTTTTAAAAAGAGATTACAACAATGGGGATAAGGAGGAGTGGAATGTAGAGAGAGGAGAAGGAGAAGGGAAGGAGTAGAGTAGGAAAGGATGATGGAGGGAAGATAGGAAGTAGGAGAGAGGTAGAAGAAAGAGGTGTATGGAGAGCAGAAGAGCTAATAATGAGTATTTTGGGAGGGCGTTGATGACAAGAGGAACTGATGTAATCATTATTTCTTACTATATGATACCGGCTATGTATAGTATACATGTGATTGTATGTTATGAAAATGGAAATAAAATGTTTTCAAAAAAACAACAACAATGGGGAGGTGGGAACCACAATTCACGCTTACAAAAATATTTCATAGATTACTTAAGACAACTACTCAGGAGCTACTACAGGTAGTCCTCGACTTACAACCACAGTTAAGCCCAAAATTTATGTTGCTAAGTGAGACATTCGTTAAGTGCGTTGTAACTTCAAACGGTCGCTAAACAAACAGTTGTAATTTGAGGACTACCTGCACACTAGATCTGAAAGAAGCAATCCTAAGGAAAACAATGAAGGAAAATGGTTCCTCCGGCTGAGAATTCTTGAGCATCGTCTCTATTCTTTGCCGCCGTCACTTAGAAAAATTAAGATCACTTCAGATTGTCCAAGAACATTTGCTCCTGTTCTGGTCTTAGAAGCCTGTTGGATTTAGACAGCTAATACATTCAATTAAATATATAAATAACAACGCCCGGATGGAAAATGTTGGGAACAGAATGTTAAGAAGGAACTAAACGGGGTGTTTCAAAAGGCTATAAAACGGGGGGTGTCAAACTCAAGGCCCGCGGGCCAAATCCAGCCCACGCGGTGCGTAGCTCTAGTCCGCGGGGCTGCCCTGAAAACAGTGAAGGATCCGATCACGGTGCCTCTGCCAGCAAAAACGGAGCCTGGGAAGGCCGCGTGTGTGCGGTTTTCAGCCAAGACAGCCTCCTGCAGCCCTCTGCCAGTGAGAATGAAGCCCGGGGGCCGCACGTGGCTCCCCATGCCCCATTTTTGCTGGCAGAGGACTGTAGGAGGCCAGTGCAGCTAAAAACAGGGCCTGGGGGAATACATGCAGTCCCCCAGGGGCCCATGGGGAGGTGGGGGAATCATAACTAAAAGCAGCTCACCTCTTGCTTTGAGTTCAGTGATGGATATTCTGTTAGCGGGGGTTTCCATCCAAGCCTCCCAATTAGTGAGCACTGAGGACAATTTCACCTAAAATAACTGGCCGCTGCAATTTGCAATAACAAATTACACAAATTGATGGACCTGATCACCCCTTGGTTGCAATAAAGAAACAGATCATGATTTTTTAACCGCGTGAAATGGATTTCCTTTTCCAACCTGGCTTAGGACATTTTGAGGTGCATTCTGCTGACAGATGTAAAACCCAGAAATTCGTTTCTAATTAAAGAAAACCCGAGGAATTGTAAGACCCAGCCTGGGGAAGGGATTGAAGAGATCCAAGTTAGTACACTACATGGTGGCAAAAAAAAACCCCACCCCCAAACCGTCAAGACTAGCAGCGCATTTTCCAAATAGCATGGTTTTTTTAAAAAAAAATCTACACTTTGGAAAGTTTATGCCCTTTAATAAATTGTGAGAATTGTATTTGCACAACATTGGGAAAATGAAGACATGCCTACAGATAAAAGTATATTTAGAAAAATATTAGATTGTGCAGAGATGGCTAGATTAACATTAATTATAAAGGATACAGAAGAAACAATACTTTTTAACATGGGCCATGTTCTATCAGTGGTTGGGTAAAAGAGGAGGAAACTAGAAGATGAAAGATTAATAATATTAAAAAATAAAGCAAGAAATTGTATTATATGCAAACAAACATTAGTATTAATATTAGTTATTATTACAAATATTACTATTGCATATTATAAGTAAATGATGTAAGAATTTTATTATAAGCATTAGTGTTTTAATTATGGCTGTTATTAATATTACTCTCATTACCAGTTTATTAATACTTAGTATGAACAAATGGATCCAGACAATACACTTCATTAAGCATTTAAGTATTTTAAAGAAGAAAAAATGTATAAGCAATTAAGAAAGCAGTTTTTAGAAAGGGTGCTACCAGATTCCAGATGTTTACACTAAACTGACAAAATGAAAAACAGAAAAAGGTAACAGCAACCGCTTCTGTAATGTTGCCACAAGAAATCCACATGGATTTGTCTATGATCGTGATGGCGAACCTATGGCAATGTGTGCCAGAGGTGGCACGCAGAGCCCCTCTCTGTGGGCACGTGCGCCGTCGCCAGCTGCTCTTCTGGTTTCGGCCTGCCAGTTGGTCTTTGCACATGCCAGAGTGCCAAAAACACGAAGACCAGCTGGACAACGTATACATGCGCCCGCCAGCTGGTCTTCAGGTTTCCAGTGTTCCAGCACGGGTGCACATGCGTGCCCACATGCCCACACGTTCCGTTTTGAGCACTCGATGCCGAAAAGGTTCACCATCACTGATCTATGATGTTCCCAAGAACTGATTTTCAGCTAGGGCAGAGATGGCAAACCTTTTTTGGCTCAAGTGCCACAAGCGGGGGAAGTGCAGGGGGGGGTCAGACGCGGGCATGCCACACCCATAATGCAATGCGTGCCCCCCCCATTGTGCATGCTCGCATGACAGGCACTCCCCCCCCCATTTTTTTGCATGCTTTTTTCGCCCTCCCCATGCTCCAGAGGCTTTATAGGAGCCTGGGGAGGGTGAAAACAGCCTCCCCCCCACCCCCGGAGGCCCTCCAAAAGCTTCAGGAGCTTCCCTGAAGCCTCCGGAGTGCAAAAAGCTGGCCCTATGGGCAAACCGGAAGTTCGAGAACAGACTTCCGGTTTGCTCGTAGAGCCGTTTTTAGTCCTCCGGAGCCTTCAGGAGGCTTCCCTGAAGGCTCCGGAGGGCTTAAACCAGCCCTACGAGCAAACCGGAAGTCTGTTCTCGAACTTCCGGTTTGCCCATAGAGTCATTTTTTTTGTAATCCGGAGGCTTCAGGAAAACTCCTGAAACCTCTGGAGGGGGAGGGGGCTGTTTTCGCCTTCCCCAGA